GAGCTTTGGCGCGGGCCGCAATGCACAACCTCGGCGTTGTCGCCAAGAAGCTGCCCGGCCAGCGGTGCCCAGGCTGGGCGCAGGGGTGTCCGCAGGGTGGGGCCCCAAAAGAAAAGACACCTTGATGGTGCAATCGAGATCCTCCTATTTTCTGATGGGTGCCTATAAAAAATGGGCAGGGGGCTGATTTCTGGGACCCCACCCTGCTGACACCAGCAGGCCCAAGTGTATGATTTATTATTTTCATGCATAGTTTTATTTTCTCTGCCTGGGCAGGGGGCATTCTAGATGGCTAGCAGTCTAAACAGGGATAATTATAAACCAGCGATTATGAATAATTACCAACCTGGCCGATACAGCTGGGGCTTAGAAGCTAAGCAGGATGGGACCCGGTTAATGCTTGGATGGGGTCCCACCTGGAGCTCCCAAAGCTGTAGCCTATTCCAGACTACAGCAGTTGCTGGGGCGGGGAGCCTTCTAGGCATATGCAATGCTGCTGCTTCCCCAAATATCTCTGCATATAAAATCTAGCATCTCAGGCGGTCTGATAGGCAAGAACCCTCATTCAAAGCATGCCCCTTTTTTGATATGTACATGCATAGTATATTTGTGTGTGTAGGGTTCCCTAACCATACACACAACCATAGGTATATCTGTGTGCATGTACACACACACACGCACACATGTGAAAAAAAGTGGAATGACTTCGATCCTTATTATGGCTTCCAGGGGAAGGGAGGGGGACTGAAATTCACCCTGCCGCTAAGCTTCTGGCTTTCCTGACGGTGACATTAGTTTGCACTCCACAATAAAATGAAATCAATTCTAAAAGGGAGTTTAAAATGCAGAGACACCCAAATTAGTTGCAGCGACAGCTACAGTCTTCCTCTTCTGTTTCCTAATCATCGCTGTTTATTGGGCCTTAATAGGAACGCCTGGAATAGGCACAAGATCCTGCAGCTTCCTTTCTGCTGGGCATCGAGACCTCTGTTCATGCCCAGGGTGGGAACACGACAGCTGTGGGGATCCAAAGGGCCCCTCCTCCCTGATGCACAGGGCTGGGACAGGGTCGAGGATCACAGGAATCCTGTACAGCTTTAGGGACTAACTCTAACCAGTGACCCAGTCAGCCAGAAAATGAGAGACAGGAAGGAAGTGGGTTCAAATTGCGAGCTCCGTGCTGCGATATCCTGTCTCGGTACCCACTTGGGTCTGCTCCTTCAGTTACAGGCAAGAGATAAAGGATGCTTGAATGACGGTGTGGGTTCCACGGGTGCCCTAAATTCGTGGAAGATTGAAAAAGCGGGCGCAGAATTAGGGTGATGGCAACCGGAAGGCTGGGCTACAACATTCGGTCTTATCCCACATTAGCGAAAGAAATGTCAAGGAGGAAAGGACACCAGTTAGCGATCCTTGCTCTCAGATGCTGGGCCTGGAAGATGCTGCCCTCAATTCCCATAGGAGAAAAATGGACTTCTGATGGACCCCAGGTTTTCCAAGGCTGGCCAAATCTTCTTCCCCCCTCCGCATCCAACTGCAGAGAGCCTCTAACCATAGCACTGCCCTCCTCCCACCACGCCAGGGAGGCCTGATAGATGGTAGACATGCCCCCCCCACCCCCACCCCCACCTCCACCCCAAGGCTTCTACCTGAGAAAATCTGGAGCTTTGGAAATCATGTTTTCGAAATCTGAAAATCCAAGCTTCCCATCGCCATCCATGTCCGCTTCTTCGATGACCTTCTCGCACACCAGGCTGACTTCCTCCTGGGTCAGCTCTTCCTTCGTTAACTTGTTCAGAGTTTGCTCCAGGTCAGATTTGCAGATAAAGTTGTCGGTGTTAAAATCTAGGCAGGCAAAGACAGGAAAGGAAGCGGTTGTCAGGATGTCTCTTCTCTGCCACCATCTTGGCTGGGACTACGGCTCCCACACTGCACCACGGCCAATGGGATATGGAGTCCCCCCCTTTTTTTTTAGTGCTTCCTATGGGAGATGGGCGGGGACAAATCAAATGAATAATAATAATAATAAATAACAAGCAGACGGGTAGAACTTTTCTACCACGCCAAATATTGATGTTTTTCAAACTCTCAATTAGCTTGATAGATGGGAAAACGTGTATTTATTTATTTCACGTGGCTTGGGTGTCTAAAGTTCAACCAGCCCCACCAACCCCTCATTCCATTTCTCCCTGTTGGAATCTACCAAACAGCTGGAGAAGGTGTGTTTTCCCCTCTCTTCTACCTCTGAAGCTCCATCATGAATCCGCCAGATGTAAAATAGAGTGGTGATTAAAAGGCCGTGGTGAACGTTTGTTTTATCGTGCTTAGCCCAATAAGCAGGATTGCCATCGCCTCTATTTAATTAGAAACCAGCAGAATGATATTTAGCAGGTTGGGTAATGGACAGTAAATCTGTCAGGGCAGATTTATGGGGAAAACGGTCTGGCATCTGACAGGTCTTCCTGCAATAAAGGAAATAAATCAGATCCTTCCTTTTTTAGAAGGCCTCCCGAAATGGTGTGGGGAAAGTTGAAAGCAGATATTAAAAATTAAATTGACACTGAGGGATGCCTTCGCTGATGGAATCTGGGGAGAGGGCAAGTGGTCATAGCGGTGGCTATGGGAGACGATGAAGACAGAAAGGTTCCCATTTGCTCCATAAAGAGGACTGGATGGAGAAGTTCTACCTTCACGGGGTCACCATGATCCAGCAGAGAGACATTTCTCTCCACTGTTGCTGAGAATTTTTAGCTGCTTATCATGAGGATATTAGACAGTGTCCTAACCTGTTATTATTGCACTCCTTACCATAAATCTTAAAGGCATAGATTGCTTTTAGCTCCCGGGGAGCCGTTTCACTAAGTACAGAAAACATGTCAACGAAGTCGTTAAAGCTGAGGCTTCCCTCGGGGTCTTCTGAAAAGGAGTGCACGATTCTCTCCCGGAAGGGATTTTCCTGCAGAAAGATGCAACGGGTTAGCGCCCTTCATTTCTTAACAAAAACAACATAATAGATATCAGGGGTGTACATTTTTCGAGTATGATTCAGAAGACATTATTTAGAGGGCACAGAAGCATGAGTGTATTGAAAGCAGCCGGGTCCTTTTTTAGGCTTCTGGCACGAGTCTGAAAAAAAGATGCGGCTGCTTCAAGAAGCCAATTCAAGGAAGCAAATGTGTCTTTGATGAGACTCCTTAAAGCAGCTGCCTCTTTTTTTCCCCTAATTTGCTCAGAAGCCAGAAAAATGAAGCCATCCCTTTAAAAAGGCACTGGGCTTGGGTCATGCCTTTTCCAAAGCAGTTCTTCTGAATCATTTTTAAACCATGCACAGCCCTCATAAAAATAATTTTAAGAACATATTAAAAGGCAAGAATTTAAACTTGTTTATATTCCTATGACAGTGAGCAGTCTACAGATATTCCAGACCTTCAGCCCTTAGCATTCCTAGCCAATATGACACCATTGTGGTTACAACTCCACATCAGTCTAAAGATCATTTCCACTCCGTGGAAATTTTTTGTACCAACCTCCATTCTTCTCCAGATTTTGTGAATAAACACACAAACACATGTATTAAAGAACAGGGCCTAGAATATATTGCGCAAAGGGAAATTGTGTGCCAAAAATGCAAATACTTGAAAAAAAATCATTACAAAAATGTCCCATTAGAAGGACATGTAAAAAAAAAAGGTGGATAAATTTTCAGGCAGTCTTAAAAAAAAAAAAACTGTGCCAATGGGATGGCATCAACTTAAGTTTGGGCAAATGAGAAGTGGAGTAAAACTTGACAACTTCACAGAGTGTCCCTTAGACAGGAGCAAAGCATGTGAATGGCTTTCTACAGCGAAGTGCAGACATTGTGTCTTCTCCCCCTCAGGCCCAGAGGAGAACATGAGAGGAAGCCAAACGTATTATCTGCACAAAGATATAACATCTCAGGAGTTCAGTCTCTCCCATTTCTGGGTTTCTCCACTGCTACCAATTGGTGTCTCTTACAACAGACTGCATTACCACTGGATCCAGTTACTGTGATGGCCGTTTGCAGACTGATCAATTCAGCACTTTGGAAGCAGGTAATGGCCAAGAATTCCTGCACGTTTCTGCTGGGAAGGCAGACCCCACAGGCCCCAAACCATCTTTGGACCCATTTTATTTAATCCCGGGAGACCCTCTTCCATTTTAATCAAGTGGCAATTTTGAAAATAAAGCCAGCCACCATTTCATCAGGAGGGGACATGGAATTTTTTTCCCAAAGCTTCAAGAGTTGGAGATCTTCAGTTGGGTTAACTTCAGAGGTTGGCTTTCGCAACAGAAAACACTCTGGGAATCTGCCATGAGTTAGTCTTAGTTGCTTCCCAAACATTGTTGGACCAAGAGTTGTTAAAATAGGCAAGGTGCCTTTAATTAGCACTGGAGCAGAATGAACAACCCAAATGGAGCTGGACCAGTCCACCTGGAGCTGTCCAGGGTCCTGTTTCAACTCTGAACTCTCGCACGGCTTCCCGGAGTGGTGGTCAAGCAGAGAGGGAGCTCTTGTCTTCACTAGAATGGCAAGAAGGTCCTGAGGATGAGATCCAGCCTCTCCGTAACATTTGGTGGTTACGGTCCCAACAGTATTTTCCAAACTGCTAAAATAATGGCCTAAGCTGTGCCAATCCCAAAATGAATTTTCAGGGGCATCTTCAGGTTATGGTCAAAACGTCAAGGTGCACTCAAAACTCTGCTATTTTTTACAAGCATTCCTTCGAATACACCGTTATGGCCATCTTTTTTTGATCAGAGCCTGCAGATACACCTGCTTCTTTCCACGTGGAGACGAGTATGGTGACCCCAATAGGAAAAACCAGCTTGATCAAGACCTCCCACCACCATTGTATTCTTTACACTCCATCACAAGGTTGCTCAACCTTGGCAACTTGAAGATGTGTGGACTTCAACTCCCAGAATTCTG